TACTGTGTGTTTGTCTTTTTTTTTATCGTAATACGAATGCATCAAAAACTGTCAAAGGGATCATACAATTCCAAATTATTTTTTTAATGCTAACGGATTGGAATTGATTGTTTTTGGGAACCACTTCGAAAGAAATTACAAAAATCAAGCATTATTTTAGAGTATAAATTAGTAACGTACGAATTCTTCCACAATGGACTAAATTCATGTGACGTCATAGTCACATGATAACTCAGTGACGTGTCTTCAGCCAATCAGTTCATAAATTAATTCGATGTCATAAATACATCATAAATTTAATCACGTGTTTCCAGCCAATTAGTTCATGTGCTTCACTGTTGCCAACTTTTGCTTTTTGCAGAAACTTTCTTTTAAAAAGTACATATTTGTCAACTATATAATAATGCACATAGTTAAACAAAAGTATTCCTACATTGTTAAGTTTTTTTTTTTTAAATTTTGAAAACAGTTTGAAGAATTTTAACACGTGAATTCTTTACCCAATCATATCAAATTTAAAATGTTATCTAAACTTTACAAGTTGAACAACTAGTATGTCCATTTTTAAACAATGGGAAACACGTGATTTCCGTTATTATGTGACCATCATGAATTTAATCCATTAAAACACAATGCTTTTTATCTTTGAAATATTCAAAATATTTTGATTTTTAGTTTTATTTTAGTGATTTTTTTAAATTTTCTTTAGGACTTGATATAAAAACATGAAAAATTACTAATAGATTTTAGATACATTTAGTTATTTTACGTGTTAGGATTGCTTCCAAGTACAGTTATTCTGTGATCTTAAATTTTGGGTTAAAAAATAAGTATGGAATCAAAGCAATTAGTTTATACATGTCAGTAAATTATGCTATTATATAATTTGTGATATTTATTTTTATAATCATGTTCCTTCCTTCCTCATTGGCTCGACAGCCCAGGGGAAGCCTTGGCCTTCTCAAGAAGCCTTTTCCAGGCCAGCCTTCTTCCTGCTAGTGTTCTCCAATTCTTAGTTCTCAAAACTAGGAGATCTTTTTCAAGGCCATAAATCCATCTAAGATTTCTCCTGCCCTTTCTTTGACTGCCAATTGGTTGGGCATTGAAGACTCTTTTAGTGGTGCGATCTTCATCCATTCTGACAATGTAGCCTGCCCACTTAATTCGTTGTATTTTGATGCAGTTAACAATGTCAGATTCTTTATATGATTGACAGAGCTCGAAATTTGATCTTCTTCGCCATGTTCCATTTTCCTGAATTCCACCAAAAATAAATCTGTTCGAGACATACGTAGACCAAGTTTCACACGCATAAGTTAATACTGACCTTAAAAGACTTTTATACAATAGAGCATTTGTTTATTTTTTTAAATTAAATTCTATTTCATATATTTTCGTATTCTATTAAAACATCTATTAACTATAATCGTGTTAATAACTTTGATTCATTAAATTAAGCCCTAAAGCTCCTTATTCATTTATTATATTTAGTACCCTTCAAAATAAATTTCTGATTGTATTCTTGACAACTCTGGGATTGACCTTCAAAATATACAAAACACTATTCTGGCGTTCGTATAAGGGGTGGAAAAAAAATCCGAATTGCACTCACGCATTTTCTTAATCAGCGTTGCAAACATCTGCTATCCCAATTTTCATCCGATTGTATTGTTTCAATTTCGTAAACATGCTTTACATCCTCTTTTGACGAAGGCTGTCATTTTCGAACAACCACTTCCGTTCCAGCGGACGTGTCCGGTACTCTAGCCCTTCCAAATAGTTACTTTTTTCATCTCGTTTTCAGCGGGTTGTATCATCTTCGTTCGGAATTTCTGAGTTCATTTGCACGCAATTTTTGCATTACGATCTGTTTCTTTATGGAAGACATGACAGATCGCTAATGGAAAGACTGATGCAGTATAAATTATTGCTTCGTTAATCAGTTCTAAGCAATTTTATAGAACCAAGTAATGTAACTCATTTTGTCGTATAAATGAGCAATACAGAAAATATAAAATATACATATATATATATATATGCCGTATTTATTCGAATCTAAGCCGAACTATTTTTCCAGAATTAATGCTACTGAAAATAGGATGCGGCTTAGAATTGAAGGCAAAACATTTGTAGGATGGGGAAAAATGAGTTACCACCTCTTTCAAAAAAAGTCTTCTATGCAAGATGTCCATTCTGGTCACTTGCATAGAAGACTTATCCCATTCTGCAGTTTATCTCCAGTATTCAGTCTATCCTAAATATCGCTGTCTACTCGTATTTGGGAATTTTCTTTTGTATAGGCTTTCTTTTAATCCTCTAAACATCAAAGATATCGGTAATAGCATCAAGACGAGTTCACTATGGCGCAAGTATGCAAAGGGAGGTCACTGAATATTTGACTCGGATGGAACAAATATACATTAATGGAGTAAGCAAAATGAAAAAAATTTTTTGTTTGTAAATGTCCAACAGTCTTTGATAATTCTTTTGCATTCTTCTGTAAAACATTCCTTAAAAAAAAATGTTGCATAACAAATGCATTAGATGGCACGAAGACGGTTCCGTGTGGGAAAATAGTGACGTCGACACCCATTCCGACGTCAGGAGTGACGAATCATTTCCCAAGCATGATGCTGACGGTTAATTATAGGTTCACATGCATGTATTTAAAAGATTTTAATACCGGTAAATAAATTAAGTATTAACTTCTTATTATTTCTCATTAATTTTTTTAAAAAAAATTTCGAATCAAATATTGATGAACCTTTTACACAATGTTTTATTTTTTCTCAAAAACGTGTAGAAAATCGAAGGGTGCGGCTTAGAATCGACGACAACATTTTTTTGCAAAAACATGTTGAGAATTTGGGGTGTGGCTTGGAATCGATGGCGGCTTAGATTCGAGCAAGTACGGTATACATATATATATTCGACTGAAGGTGATTAAGTTAGTTAATGTCCAGACTTCTATATATATATATATATATATATATTATAATTAAAGCTCCTTTTTCAAAATGGTGTAAGAGAAGAACCCCTGGTCAGAATGATTTCAAACTTGTACAGAATGTACTTGACCATACCATGTTGAAAGCACTGGTTCTCGTCCGATCACCGAATCACAGATCATCATCAGGCGCGGTCAGTACTTGGGAGGGTGATCGTCTGGGAAGACCGCGTGCCGTTGACATATTTTTTAAGTCACCCATCCGGTATAGTGGTTAGCGACGCTGATAACTGTGCCGTAGGGCCTGGGATCGAATCCCGGAGAAGACATGGATGTTTGTAAATGTATAGTGCCTTCACGTCATGGGGGTTCTCTAAACAGCCGTCGAGCTTCAAGTCCTCTTGTGAGGCTGGTAGCAGGGGATGAGAGGTGAAAGGACCCCGACCCTTCCCTACGGTGTTCTCCCTTAAAATTGGGGTGGAACCGAACTAAAATCGTACTGTCACCTGTATGGTGCTCAAGGCTAAGGCCAACGACAGGCGTACATCTAGCCCCTTGTCATGATGAATTTCGTGGCAGACAGGTGGCATTAGCAACAACAACAGTATAACGCATAAGAAAAAAAAAGTTCTGAAGTGTATCTATAGATAGCGCTCTGTAAGCGGCATAACGAAATTGGATTGGACGAAAAGGGGTGTTTTGAATCGAATCTTTGGCATGGGATACACATTAAAGCAACTTTACTGTTCATTGTGCATAATTGTATCGGGCTTTTTTTTGACAGAAAAAAATGACTTCTAAGTCATTCAATGGTTGTTGTACTGTTAGTGAAAAGCCCATCCACCACGGCAAGGTCGTACCACATTGATGGGAGAATCGATTTTTAATTGTTCTTAGCTCAAAAACCGCATAAAAAGCAACCATGAAAACTTCAATGAGTTTTTTTCTTGTGCCATACTGTTTTACCCTTCTTCAAGTACATTTTTTAAATTTGAAGTCATTCTGACCAGTGGTCTTTAGCGACGACTCCAGATTCAATCTCAGCAGTGATGACAATCGTGTTCGTGTGTGTGGAGACCCCGTGGTGAACGCCTCAATCCTGTCTTTGCTTTACAGCAACACACCACTTCCACAGTTGGTGTGATTGTATAAGGTGCCATTGCCTACAATACACGGTGACCCCTAGTATTGATCCGTGTCACCATGACATCCTGCAACCACATGTGTTGCACTCATGCAACGGCTCCCAGGAGCCATTTTTCAACAAGACAATGTTCGGCCTCTCACGGCAAGGGTGTCACAAAACAGTCTCTGCACTGTTACTACCCTTCCTTGGCCTGCCCGATCCCCAGATTTGTCTCCAATTGAGCATATCTAGGATCATTTGGAACGGCGAGTTGGGCATCCAACGAGTTTGAACGAACTAGAGACAAGGTTACAGCAAATATGGAACAAAACGTTTCAAGACACCATACAGATCTTGTACGCCCGATCGTATCGCATCATGTATTCGCGCTAGAGGGGGTTCAAAAGGGTATTAAATCCTCCGTTCTTTTGCCTTTTTCTCTGAAATAAATTATCCTTTTTCTTTGATTTTCTAATCATTTACATATATCAAAGTAGTCATTACGTGTGTATAGTTTCGTTTCATTTTGACGACTCCTTCTTGATGCGCTAATTTTTTTGTCCATGAGTGTAGGACAGAAATCTATTTTTACTACAAAAACGCAAGTAACACGAAATTATCCAGTTGAATGCTTGAGAGAGCAGCTATGAGTAACTACTAGATCCTGGAGCCGGTACATATTCAATGCAGCGAGCAGAGAACATACGTGGACCGATGAATCTAAGACCGACGTATGTACTTGCATTTGTTTGCTGCCGATTCCCGCGCCATCGCGGGACATGACATCAACTCGAGAATCCAATCTCGGGGAAGCGCGGTATGTGGAATGATATCTCAATAGAAGATCCCGTGCTACCGTGAGAAGAGCTGACCATAAACATTTATTCTCCCCTTCAGGCAGTGTGTGGGAAAAAATTCATTTCTACAGCTGGCATTGCAGTGATCGCTTTTCTCCCCTACAGCAACAATGAACGTGTTAAGCATCATCGTTCGCTTCCAATGAAGGAACATGTGTCTTCTACACATTAATCGAATATTTGCTCAAGTAAATACAGTCGTGTCGTTTGTGAAAAGCTGATTCTCCAGTCTAGCTGGTGTCGGTGTTTCATAAATATGTTTCTTTTAGTATATGCGTCTTAGGTCTTTGTAAAGGCGGTCACCCCAAAATGTCTTGGCGGTCTACCGGTCGATTGTGATTGACTTAATGCCCATCCGTGGTCTAAATGTTTCTAATTCATATTGTCTACTACTCATTTTTAAATATTAGGGATTTAAAACAACTTGGCTCTTGTAATCACCTAATGGCAGGAGTATTGATTAATCTGTCTTAACACATAATTCAACAAGATTTTTTTTATTAATGTTGTAAATTTAGAAGTATAAATTATATATATATATA